GTCATTTGAAACCTTGTTGAAGGATAGCCAATGGATCAGAAGGCAACAAAGGCACGCACATACACACCCACCCCAAAAAAATACTTCCAACAAAAGTCAATAATTGTCATTATAGCTGCAGAAAACTGGGGGATGTCCAAACAACTGGCAGAAGAGAAGGCCAATCTCTCCTTGCTGAAATAAGCAAGTGTGTATGTTTGTGTGACGTGGATAGAAAGGATTTAAACAGTGATTCCCTGGCAGCAGGAATCTGCTGGTGTGGGGCTCACGCTCGCTCGGCCTGCTTTTCAGAAGCTACCTGTGAAGTATTTCTGCTGCCCATCTTGGAAGCCCGTTTATTTTCCTGGAAAAGAGGGTGATCATGTTAATTCAATCAGAGGGAGGCTCAGGAGGACAGGAGTCTCTTCCTATTACTTTAACTAGCCATGCAGAGCTATAAGGATGTCGCGGCTTGTCAGGGATGATGGCTGATGACACAGCATCCTCCCTTGTGCAGCAAAGAGGGCCGATTCCTCTCCCCAGCGGTGGCTGGAATGGGTTTGGAGCTCCAAACGGGTCTGGCCGCAGCAAGCCACAACGTCCTGGGCTTCCTTGGGAGGTCACGTGGTGGCCTCTAAAGAGTTGCCATGGCCTTCAAGAGGAGGGCTTCACTGTCCGTTCCTCATTATCGGACAGGACAATCGCCGCGTTTGATCTTTGAGTGTATCTGGCTGGCTTTTCACCTGGCAGAAGTGCCGTCCGGGTATTTCTGGAATCACAAAGTTGGAAGAGAGGCCAAAGGCTCCGTGGCCCCACGCAGAAATGCGAGGGGATCTTGCTCACTTTTACAGCTCCACAAACCCACCAGCCAGGTGCCACGTGGCCACTGAGGTCCCAGCCGAAGCAAGCCAGAGGTTTCTCTCTGAGTCACCTGGCACTTTTGCTTTGTAATCACCTAGTGAAGTAATTCCAGATAGCTCAAGCAAGTGAGCCAAACTACATTCCCCCTCGCCAGCCCTATGTGCACAACAGAGTCACTAGTCACTAGAGCCCACCATGTGTTCTACTGAAAATGTAAGCAGAAGTTCTTCATCAAATCCTTCCAAAAGCAACAACTATAATAATAGAGATGATGGCAATGATGATGACCGCTGTAAGAAGAAGCATTTGCAAGATCAGAGAGCTTCATATACATTCTGTAATTTTTACGAGAGCCTTATAAGATGGGCCGGTTCTCTCACCTGGATATTGGAGCCAGGCCAAGGAACAAAGGGGGCGGAGAGGGAAGTTTGCACAGGGCCAGTAAGTCTAGGGGTCACACAAGATTTGAACCGGTGATCTTAGTTCCATCGGGTCACAGATCCCACATTGGTTGGGTGCTGTTTCTGCTTTTCTTCCTTCTAAACCAAATGAATTCTTTTAACTCTGCTTGCATTGTCTGTCCATGTTCATCCCTTGAACAACATCCTGACAGGGTTGACACCTGCACGCTAAAGAGACGGGCTGCAGGGGAGAGCAGCAGCTGCTCGTGCCGCTGGTGAGAAAGCTTAGGTGACGTTGAAGGACAAATGGAAGATGGAAAGGGAAGCGACAGAGAGGCAGAGGATGAGGGCGAGGATGCTTTATGCCCTGTCTTTCTGTGCTAGGTGCCCAGGGTAACCAACAGCAGCCCTTTAAACATACTATTAAAAAGTGAGGGAAGTAAAAGTCACTGGTAAGGGACATGGTCGCGTTGCGGGTTAAACCGCAGAAGCCTCTGTGCTGCAAGGTCAGAAGACCAGCAGTTGTAATCCATGTGACAGAGTGAGCTCCCGTCGCTTGTCCCAGCTCCTGCAAACCTAGCTGTTTGAAAGCATGTAAAAATGCGAGTAGATAAATAGGGACCACTTCGGTGGGAAGGTCATGGCGTTCTGAGTCTAGTCACACTGGCCACGTGACCACGGAAATGGTCTTCGGACAAAGACTGGCTCTGCGGCTTGGAGACGGGGATGAGCACTGAGCCCTAGAGTCGGACATGGCTGGACTCAATGTCAAGGGGAACCTTTACCTTTACCTTTTAAGTTACTGGTGGAACTCATGATCACTTAAAAACTGGAGTAGAAGAAACAAGAACATTGCCGTCCCAAGCAACAAGCAGACTTTTGAAAAAGCAGACTGCGAGGACAGAATGGAACTTGTGAAATGAGCGGCTGCAAGATGTGAATTCCTCTGACGGGCGATGCCTCTGAAGCGGGACTAGGCCCATGTCGCGACCGGTGGGGGTCCTGCAACCACCCTTTTGAGAGGTGGTCTGTCTTTTTATTTAGTATTATTATTATTGTTTTAGTGTGCAGTCTGTCTCTTCAGGGATTGGTGTTAGAGGCAAGCCAGTTACTGTGCCAGGGTTGGAGAAAAGGGAAGCCGCTGCCCGGCCTGTGGCTCTGGTGGTCTTGCTCTGGTGGGTGGTCCAGAGGAGACCGACCTCCAGCTGGCCACCGCGGTGAACACGATGCTGTATGAGATGGAGGGAGCCCCTCGAGAGCAAGGGAGGCTGCGGTTCATACATTATCTGTAACACAAACGGGCACCCCTCCCACCTGACACCCCCCCTGACACAAGTTTGTAACAAAAGGGGGGGGGGCAGTGTAGGAGTTGGGAAAGTCTCCCTCCCAGCCTGGTTCCTTGAGTGAGCCGTCAGTCGGTCTCCTCCCGACTGGCTTCCTGCCTCCCCTTCCTCACCCCAAAGTTATTAACTAATGAAAGCCGTCCAGCCCGGGCATATACATCCATAATCCTTTCCCTGAGCCCCCTCTATTGACAGTTATCTGGGATCTGAAGGAATCCAAGACAAATGATTAAGAGGATGGAGTTAATAAAATTTGAAAAATTGAGACCTGTCACTCTGCTAAACTTTTTTCAATACCACCGACAGAAACATATTTCCCCAATGAGTGACCTTATGCAGCTGCTCGGGTTCGGTCTTGCTGCCGCAGCGCTAGCCATGAGTCGGCGGGCTATTTATCAAATATTATAAGCGGTGGGGGGCACTCTTTCTATGAGCAAAGTTGACAGTGGAAGGGAGGGTGGGGGCTTTGCGCGCACCACTCCCCCAGGCGTTGCCCAGGTGTTGATTCCCTGCCAGAGACAGGAGTGTGGGAGGTGACAAATGGTGTCCCATAAAGACGCTGAAAGACATACACCCCGCGCACGCGTGCACTCAGCGGGCGTACAATAGCTAGTGAGGACTCCATGGCTGCGTTTGGAAGGCCTCCTATCTGTGGGACCAGCTGTCCCTGGACCGCGGTGGAGGCCGTGAGGTTAGGCTGGGGCTCGTAGGGAGGCCAATGGCTCTCTGTCGGTGATGGCCCACCCAGGCATCCTGACACACCGTGTTATTTATGACAGAATAATATTTTATTGCCGTTCGTACCGGAGGTGGAGATCGACCGGTTGTATGAGCCTGGTTCTATCAATTATTGCAGCAATTAGTCAAGTCGTCAAAGCCATTAACAGGGGAATTAGACCAATATTGGTTAGCTGTTATTAATAGATCAGCGGCCAGAAGTTTAGGTCTCGTAAGGTGGTGGTGGAGTTGGCCCCGAGGATGCACTCCTGCTGGGGCAGAGGAAATCGCCCTGTTTCTCTTCTTCCTCTTAACAACGGGTACATCCAGATGGGCAGCAAAAGAGCACGAGGAAAGGGTAGGGGACCACGTGGGGGTCACTGTCTCTTTGAAAAGATATCGAGTGGTCAGGAGAGGCAGTATATAATCCCACCTGTTCCACTCATATCCTTTATTGGATGTGACAAGGGCTCACAACAGAAATTACTCTGAGCCGGACGTTTATGGAGTGCATTTTTCAATCTGTAAGCAAATGGAGATCTCTTTATGCCGGCTCTTGGACCGAGCTAATCTCTGTCTGTCTCCCTGTCTGGCTTGGCCGCCTCCGTTTCACTTGGGTCCAGAGTAGCAGATAAGCCCACACCGGCTACCCAGTCGCCTTTACAGGCAGAACAAGATCAGAGGTTGATGCACGGCGAGGCGAGGTAGAAGATAAAATGTAGACTTCAAAAAATAGCATAACTCCACAATGGAAATAAATGTACTCTCCTCCCCCCCACTCCATGCCACCTGTTATGACTCCCTGTGGTCTCCCCCGTCAGGCCTTGGCCTCTCACATCCCATCCAGGTCGCTAGGGTCAGTCTAGAGAATTTTTCTGGACCTCCCTTTCTCTGGGAATAAGAGAGATGAGCCCTCCGTATGCCAAGCAGATGTTCCTATCCCTGTGTTTCTTCTTAGGTACAGAATTTGGGCGGGGCGGTGCAGGTACTTCTTTTGACTACAATACTCAGAACTCCTAGCCAGTGTGATCAGATAGGTGGCTGGTGGATTCTGGATTTTCTAGTCCAAAGAAGTAACTTTTCTAGGGTCTTGAGTGGGCACACCATTTCCGAATAAGAATTCCTTACTTACCTGTGAGCACTCCACGAAAAACTTGCTCTTTTACATGTACAGCCTGTGCAACTGTGTGTGACACATGGTGTGCATGGACTGTGTTGTTGTTGTTGTTGTTGTTGTTGTTGTTTCTCCCTTGGTGGTTCTTGAGTAGGCGATGCCAAATTCCCGTTCCCCTGGTGATAAAAGGTGAAGCGGAGGTCCCTTGGGTTTGCTAGCCAAGTCTCAGGGCATGGCAAGTGGCGAGGAGCCAAGGTGATTGACTCCTCCCGGACCTGTTGCTGTTTCCCAAGCCCTATTTTCTCCTTTGTCATCATGGCCTTGGTTTGGGGGTGGGGGTGGTGCTCACGTACCCATGGCGCCTCCTGTCCTTCCTAGCCCAGGCCTGTTTTTCATACTGACCTCTCCCTTTCATCGGCTCTCTTGGTATCTGTATGGGTCGCCATGGGTGGCACGTGATTCTTTTTGTGGTCCCAGGCCTGCTCAGAGCTGTGGTTGAAGAGGACCCGAGACAGCTTAGAAGCTGTAAAGCGGTCCGTCGTCTGATTCTGTCCCACACCTTCTGTTCTGTTTCCTCCTTTTCAGGTGCCAACCCTTTGCAGAGAAATGAAATGGGGCATACGCCCATGGATTATGCCCGGGAGGGAGAAGTCATGAAATTCCTGAAGGCATCAGTCACAAAGGTGAGACATTCAATTGTTGTCTCTATGTCTCTCTCTCTCTCTCTCTCTCTTTCTCTCTCTATATATATACTGTATACTGTATATATGTATATACAGTGGTGCCTTGCAAGACAGCTTCTTCTATGGATATGCTCCGTAAGATGAATGTTTTTTGCAAGACCGATGCCTCGCAAGACGAATGAATTATTTTCGTCTTGCGAGGTTCCCATAGGAATGCATTGCAATGCATTCCTATGGGAAACCGCTTTCCGCAAGATGAAAATTTCACAAGACAGCGCTACTCGCGGAACAAATTACATTCGTCTTGCGAGGCACCACTCTGTGTGTGTGTGTGTGTGTGTGTGTTTGTCTGTCTGTCTGTCTATCTGTTTTTTGTGAGCTTCTCTTTCTTTAATCTTGAGCAGGACATTGAGGGTGAGAGAGACTCTTGGTCTCCCAGAGGAGGTTGCAAATCTTCTCTGTGCTCTAAATTTCTGATCTTAACTGGCTTTGCAGAGAAGTTCCACCAAGCAGCCTTTCAAGTCAACCTGAGTTGTCATCTTAAGTGCCCGTTCTGTCCTTCAGAGATGGGCAAGGGAGGGCATGGAGAGGCAGATAAGCAGGTCTGGGATCCTGCCCAGTTAGTTTTTGTTGCCTCGGGGGGTGGGGGGACACCTGGAACTACCATAGCATTTTCTGAAACCAGCTAAAAGGCCCCTCCAGAGTCACCCTGGTCTTAATGCCATGCGGGTGCTTCCGTGGGCACCGTTGTGAGGCCTCCAAGTCACCTTCAGGGTTAACGTATTCTTTCTTGCCCTATAGTTGCCTGGCTGATGGGGGCAGTTGGATGTGAATGGGGGGGTAGTCGAGGCTAGCAGCCGGGGAGCCCTCCTTAGCAGCTCCTTCTATGATCAGGACTTTGTACCACCAAGAAAGGCTCGCAACCTCCATGCCTCTGGCTAGCTGCTGGGAAGCACCTCCACAAGGAGGGGGTGGCTTGCTAAAAATACTGGTTTTCTCCAGCCCTCTGGTCATTGGCTCTTCTTGCCCTCCCTTTTTCTGCTATCCATCAGCTGATTGTGCCCTTTTTTGGCCAAATTCAGGCAACTTCAGAAGGGATCTGAGTGTACTCTAGCCTTGGTGGTCGTGTAACGCTGCCACCGCAAAGCCAGAAAAGTCACTCTTCCTCCCCCAGAGGGGGACGGGACAAGTTCTGTGGCTGATCCCGTTCATGTCGAAAGTGGGGCTTGCCTGCGGGCGTCCTGCTGAGCATGCCCCCACCTGCACTCACCTCGGGATAGAGCTTGGATGCCATGGTGAGACTCGTCATATTTTTATAAAGAAGGCATGAGCCGTTTCACTCTTAAATCTGTACAGGCAGCAAAGAGAGAGAAGAGAGAAGGGCTTACTGAGTTTAAGGGGTCTCTGGAGCTTGCCTCTATGAAGCCAAGCTGCCTGTTGATTTATAAATGGTTGGAAAACCATCGCCTACAAACCCTTTGGACAGTGAGAAAAGAACTGCGCAGATAGGCACATCAGCGTTGCGGAAACCACCCTCTCCATCTCGACGTGCATATTTTAAAAAGTGTTCTTCAGAGCCACTCAGTGGTGAATATCAGCTAAGTGGTACAGCCTCACTCCTCGACCCGCCAAGAGCCTTTGAGAATTTATTGCCCATTTTAATCGCTGCTGGAGAATGAGGTGGTGACGCTATTAACAAGATAGATACACCCCATCAAGTTTACTTGGATGTGCTGGTGACAGAGCAACAACAGATATCCATATGTGGATGCTGTTGGTTCTTAAGAAGGTCGTCTCCTCACTCATTCAAGGAGGGTCTTGCTGTCCTGATTAGCAACATCAGCATTCAGAGCCACCTCTGGTGTGGGAGGTCTGTGAGCAGCGGTTGGGCTGGCCGGTGATCTGATTGCACATGGAGGCTGGGCTCCGGCCCCCTCGCCCTGCTGCTCCTCGTTTCTGCCGTCTCATGTTTTTTTACATTGTGTTTTATTCATTTTTTTAAAACTTATATACCACCTCATGAACTATTCTGGGCAGTTTATATCAAGTTTGAAACATCATCATCATAATAATGTGCTAAGTAAAAAAACAGATAAACCCAAAAATTCCCAAGAGGCATATGTTGTAAAATAAAAAGTGGAGTGCAAAGCATGTAAACGCACAAAACAAACAGGAAAAACACCTCTTGGTAAAGCAGTTTTTTTCCAAATGTGGGGGCCGGGGCGGAACCAGGCACAGCTCCATCTGAAGCTGGCTCCCAAATGTTGGTGGTGCCACCTCAGAGAAGGCCCTCTTTCTGGTGGATGATTTCCTGGCTTCCTTTGGGGTGGCTACTCAGAGGAGCCTGGCCGGGGAGGACCTGATGGAACCCTGCGTAGACGACTATGGAGAAAGATGTTCCGACAGGCCACATGACCCCAATCCTGGAAGGGCATATTATAGAGGAGCATCAGTACCTAGAGCCTGATCCAGGAGGCAACAGGTAACCAGTGAACACCAGCCAGGACTGGGGAAACATGATCAGACGTGCTCACTCTCCAGTATGGCTGCTGCCTCCTGGACCCACTGCAATCTCAAGGGAAGGCCCACGAGGAGGAGAGCATGGCAGTCATTTGTAGGGGGAGGCAGTCGCTTTCTATGGTTAGTAGCTTTATGGGACTGAATGGCTCTGGATAGCCAGCTGCCTCACCTCGGAAGCCACGGACATGGGGTGGGCCCTCCAGGCCCCTCTGGACATGGAGCTTGGCCTCTAGGGTGCTTGTGATCCGCTGCTGGTTTAGAAGGAGAGTTTGTGCGTGAAGGGGATCAGAAGCAATTTCCCCCTGGAGATGGAACAGACTACCATTGAATCAGAAGGGCCTCTGGATTTGAAGGCCCCTGGGGACATGGCAGGGTCTGAAATTATCCCTTCATAGTGGTAGGCCATCGTTTGGAACCTTCAGAGAAAACCCTATAAAGCCGTCAGTTCTTGTCCTGCTCTCCTTGCGTGAAGTCGTGTAGAAGCCACGGGCGAGAGAAAGGCTGTCTTCTGTCTTTCCCGACTATAGCAGCTGCAAAAACCGCAAGCTTCCTATGATTTTGGGACACGCGGTGTGGTAACCAGGCCAGCTCCCTGTGCCATTTGACACATCGGGTTTCCTGATCCAGTAACTCTGTGCACCAGTGCAGTTGTTAAACAGCACCTGCTTCTCTGGGGGTTCTCCAGTTTGTGTTTGGGGGGGAGACCTCCAGCTCCCTTCTTTCTATAGGAGGTGGACTCTTCTCTGCCCTCAGTAGCTGTCAGAGCATCTCTCCCTCCTGCCATCCTCCCTCCCCTCCCAATCCTTGATCCTTTGGGTGGCCACGCCAGGGGTCGCCAACCAGTAACGGGGCCTTCTCGGTGGTGGCCTCCCCACTCTGGAACTCTCTTCCTCTGGAGGTGTGATGAGCTCCCTCCGTCCCGAGCAACTTCAAACCTGGCTTTTTCCCCCCCAGACCTTGACAAGCTTCTCCCTAATTTTGCCATAAGTTTGCGCTGGCTCATGATTTGCCACTCTGAGTCTTGGGCTGTTTGTTAGACCGGAGGCTTGATAAGCAGTTTTCCTTTTTGTGTGTTAATTTTAAAAATTCTGTTATTATTTTCTGGAAGCCGCCCAGAGTGTTGGCTTGTCCAGGAAATGTGTGGGGTGTACGTCTAGACAAACAGACCCCCCTGGCAGGTAGCAGAGCCCAGTTTTCCTTTACTGTTTTGCAGGGTACAGACAAGTTGGCGCAATAGGCTCTTTCTCGTCTTGCGTTCTTGCATTCGTCTTGTTGCCACGAGAGTGTGGTTGGTTTGCTTCCTCCAACTTTGCCCACGTGGCAGTCTTTGAGCGTTGCTTCGGTTCCAGGGGCTTTTGCCTGATTTGCCTGGAGATGGCGGAGGCTGCCCAGGTAGAGAACCCCGCGGTGCCCGTGTTTTCACCTGCCAGGCATCTGTTGACAGCCTGAAAGCCTCTGTGAACAGAATTCTATACGTTCTCGTGAATTTTCCCTTTCAGAGGGATAGCTATGTCAGGCTGCTGCAATCAAAACGAGTGTCTTTCACAGCTTGCTTGAAAACGAGCAGGTTATTGGAGGGAGAAGCCTTCCCAGGCTGGAACCTGCCAGGTTGAGTACACTGATACCTTGAAGACGGTCTCTGCCTCCACCCCAATCCAGGAGTCCATTTGGTCTGTTCTGCGTTAGAGCAGTTGTTCACTCTGTTCCCTGCGGGCCACAAAAGAAGCAAAAAAGGGTGTAAATCGCAGGAAACCCACCTGAAGATAACTGGAGGAGCAGTCTTCCAAAGGAGCAGGCTGCCTGGGAGGATGCATTAAAAATCTGCCTTCTTGAAGGATATCATGTAAGGCAGTAGGAATTGATGCCTTCTTCGATCAGGACTTCCTGGGAATGATCTGTGGGTGCCTTTCAGGGAAATGTATCTTCTTCCTTACCGGAGTGCCTATGACTTCTCTAAGGAGCACTCTCTGCCTTAATGCAAAGATTACATCCATTTCTCTAAAATTCCTTTTCCCCTTCACTCCTAAAGGAGCTGGTTGGTCTGCTTTCTCTTTTGTTTGCCAAAAAGGAAGCCATGCCTCCAGCAGCTCAGGGTCTGCCAGGCCTCTTGCCTCCGCAAATCTTCCCGTAAATGGAGCTGTGGCTGGGAGGGATGCCAGCCTTGTTAATGAGCAATAAAAGGCAGAGAACGCAATTACCTGGCCCAGGAAAGAGCCTTCTGTCACTGTCTGAAGGTGAGGCCTCCTGGCAGAACTCACCGAGCATGTGGCCCTCAGCGCTCCCGTGGTTTCTTGAGTCCCCGCCAGAGAGGCTGAGGGCCCCTAAGCGGCAACACGGAGCACTTGGAGGCTGAACATGGATCCCCCTCGCCCAGCATCATCTATGAAACGAATTGGCCGCCGTGGTCCTCGGAGTTTCAGGCAGAGTCCTTTCCCGGGGGACTCCAGGACTGAACCTGGGGGCCTCCCAGCTGTGGAGCA